CTCTTCTTAGTTTCCCCATGTTCAAAATCACAGTAAGACAACCTACCTGATGGTATTTTGAAGGTTAAATAATAAACATAAAGCACTGAGAAGAATATCTGGTGCACGGTGGAAACAAAATGTCTATTTTCTTTTTATCAGATGGCAAACTTGATGTCAATTCTAACTGTGTTAATGAGGAGCAGCCAGAGGCTGAGACAGCAGTCTCCCAAGAGGATTCCCATTGCAAAGATTCTCTGGAAGGGGAACAAGAATCTCTTCAGGGTGCTGCTGTGCTGGAAGGTCTGCAGGATGCTCCCACAGGCCCACAGGCACCTGAGGAGTAACCAAGCGCCAGCAGATGGCCCTCACCTTGTCAGGTAGCTGGAGAACTCATATGACTGTGTCCTTATTGCCTAGTAACACTGCATGGCACCCTGGCAGAATTTCACATTTCACAGAATAAATGCTTTCAAGCAAAGCTCTGTATAAATCACCCTAATTTCCTAGTGATTTCTGTCCTGTAATTGGATAGGTATTCCTAGGGAAATTTTTTTATTTCAAAATATAAAAGAAACATTTCATTGCTTTTCTGAGATCAGATTCCTAGCAGTTGTTCTCAAAAAAAAAAAAAAAAACTTTAAAAGGAAATACAGGGTCTAGAGACAAAAGAGTAAGCAGAATAGGTATAGGAGAGGAGCCTTTTGGGAAGGAAAATTTTCCTAGCCACAGAAATGGGTAGTTAAAAGAATTCTGTGTTATATGTGAGTAAATGTATATAAATAGCATTCATAGTAGTGATGTTCTGTTTATTAGGAAGCAGTGAAATGAAGAAAAGCTGTATGTTAAAGGTAAAGCATCTTTGCCATAGTCCAGCTATAATTTTCTGTAAAAATTATCCTGAACTTTCTAAATTCTGTCTAGTTCCCACACTGATGTTTTATCTAAAGTATTTATACCTCAGAAATGCTAAATCCCTCAGAAAGAACTAAAGCATAGCCAGAATTATTGCAGCATGTGCATTAAAATGATGTTTTGTGAAATTTTTGATTAAATAGTGGCTAAACATACTGTGTCTACAATTCCTGTAAATCTAATTCATGTGCCATATTCCACTTGAAAGGCTCACTTCTATCTTCCTGTAAGCTTTTCAGTGACTCTTCCTGTTAAGAAAGATTTATAACCATCATTTACAGATGTTCTGGCATCCAGTTTTAATGTACACAGTGTTTAAACAGAGCTAGAGTATAATATCTGAAGAATGCTGTGTTCCAAAGTACCTGGTCTTGATTGTAAAATAAATTTTGCCTATGTTATAAGCAGCTCATACCTTGTTTTTATAGTGTATTGCTGTCAGTGGGTTGTATACTAGGGAAATATTAGAGAACTTAACAAATTACTGGAAACTTAACCAACATTGAAGGACAAAGTAACAATTTTATAATTATTTTAATACATACAGTTGTGAATCAAAATGACAGGAGTTCTTACCATACTTTATCAAATTTACATCTTGCTGGTTCACCTCTTCCTTTCACTCAGTTCCCTCTTATTCTCAATACATGCATCTACAGATCCTTTATCATGCTACTTTATGAAGACTTCGTTTAGTAAATTCAATAGCATGTTAATAGTTGAATAAGGAATTTACAGATTTTGTCCATAGTTCTAAATCATAACACGTCTCCATCTAAGTTCCTGGTTTTTTATGTAGTGAAATCATCCTCCTAGACCACCATCTCCCACAGTTGTCTCTGAATTTTAGTTATTTTTTGTGTTTATGTTATTTTGCATGCTGTGTACTATTTTATAGTATTATAATGTGTTTGGCTACCATGGAGGGTTGTGAAAAAGCAGCAGAAAATAGGAAAATCAATAGATGGGATATGTAGAGGAAATTTCCCCATGACTGAGATGAATGTAATATAAATCAGAATTCTAACACAGCAATAACTGTCATGAGGCAACGAGGTCTTCAGATATTTATCCAGGAAGGGGGTGGGTGTAAAAATGGAGTTTAAGATGGAGTTTAAGAGAAAATGAAATTGGTTCTCATTATGATCACTTCCTTTGTTATAGTGTAAAATTTAGGCCTTTCTTCCATTGTAATACTACAAAAGTATCTAAATCCCAATTACTCTCTTTTCTGCCATGCTGAATTATTTTACATATGCTATCAAAAATTTTTTCTCAAACAAAAATAAGATCTAAAGGATTAGAATATAGTCTTACTTTCCCAATACATATTATACTTAGTGCTGGTGCAGCAGAATATTAAGTTTGTCAGTGAGTTTATTAGGAAATTGGATTCATACCTTTAGATTCAGCAGATAATAGAATTGGAAGTTATTACATATCTGAACTATTTAATATTCACAGCACCTCTACGGATTACTTTATTTTTATTCCCATAGCACAGATGAGGAAGTTGTAGTTTAAACAGGTCAACTAACTTCCCAGAAGTGCAGCAGTGGGACTCTGAAGTCTGGAATTTCTCCTTCATTGTACGGAGTATATTACTATCACGGTCCCATCTCTGCAGACATAATATAGTTATGAGAACTTTGATGTAAAATCAGTATTTTACAGGATGTAGTGCATATTCTTGGTCCTTAAAAAGGTGGCTGATTTTAGTCGATCCTCCCATATGAGTAATAGTATTGGACACTAAAGTAGATATTCCCAGTGGTTTTATCTTTTCAGGATCCCATCTCCCCTGATACTAGAGTAAATCGGTTCCCCTCATAAGTGGAAAACTACACCTCTTCCAGTTTAGGTAGTTGTGTTTGTTGCTAGTAGTAATGATCTGCTTCATGGCCACTAGGCCAATTAAAGTGCTTCCCAGGACCTGAAGAGGGGAGATTTTGTTTCTCCCTCGAGACTTCTATTCAAAACATAAATACATCTAAATAAAACTCAAAGCACAGTGAGGGCATATAATTTAAATCATTGAGATTCATATGCTCAGAACAATATAAAATGGAAGTTTTGAATTAGACTGTAGTTATTTTGGTTGTAAAGGAAACCACCAGCATTAGGTGTTTTGCATCTCTACAACATTTATTTGGGAAAACATACATGCTTGAAATTATACAGAGATTAGCACATACTGAGGTAAACTAATAATATTAAATTTTTCTTTGCATAGATGAAAGAAACCTAAGATCTTATTTTAGTAAAAAACTAATTTCTTCTTTTCATGATTATTTCAGGAGATGATTTTTTTCCCCAAGAAAGGTAGCTGTGATGTAGTTCAGAGAACTAGTTTTCTGTATCCTCAAAGGACAAAGTTCTAGTTTTACAAGTTAGATGAAGGCTGCTTTTTAAATGGTGATCATAATTTTTGTAGAATAAATCAACATAATTGACCAATTACTAACTAACTTATAAACTCATGCAAAAATTTTCGACTCAGAATGATGAAATGTGAATGAAATAATATCAGAAGAAACCATGAGGGAGTTCTGAATGATTTTGGCATGATGGAGGCCTTCCTAAATAAATTAAACTTACAAACTACAAAGGGAACCACATCCAGTTAAGTATAAAAAAGAATCTAGGAAAATAAGCACCTGAATACTTCTCCTGGGAAGATGGACTAGACATAATTTTTTTCCCTAATCTTTTCATAAATAAAACTAAAAATCCTGAATATTGCATAGTAAAACATCAGAATCTCTCTAAGACAGAGGAAAAAAGGCAGAAGAATGGTACTTGGTTTCTTCTCTGGGTTTTCACTTTGCCTCATATGACCTAAAGTTGGAGCTGAAAAAGCTAGCAACATGCAAACACCAAAGCTACAGAAAAAAATAAGACACAGCAAAAGGCTGCCAGTCAGCTGGCTTCTCTGGACTTTAGACTCAAGACTGTAACATCAACTCATACCTGAACTTCTAGCCCAGCACACCCTTCACATTTGGTCTTGGCAGCTTTCTTGTTCTCTCCATATATATATCCACTTGCTCTGTTTTTCTGGAATCCGAATATATCATGTTCCTTCATTTGGGCTGCTATAAGAAATAGCATAAACTTGGGTGGTTTGAACAATTAATATTTGTTTCTCACCCTTCAGAGGTTAGAAGTTGGTGACCAGGGCACCAGGATGGTGGAGTTCTTGGTGTGCTCTCTGCTTGCTTTGTCCTCACATGGCAGAAAGAAGACAAACTACCCCTAAGGCCCCTTATCAGGCTACTAATGCCCTCCATGATCTTGTTAACTCCCCAAAGCCTGACCACCAAGTACCATCACATTGGAGTTAGATTTCATATTCAGTCTGTAACTCCCAAGTTTAGTACTTTCGAGACGCAAATTTTTTCACAATGAGAGCAACTGTTAGCCAGTTTATTCTGAGTACCTACTTTGAGAAAGCTTCTCTACCTAACACTTTACAACAGAATCCTCAGACTGAGATAATCTCTTTTAAGTAAGAGGAAATAAAAGTGAAAGGTTAACTATTTTGTCCAAGTAATACAACTAGTAAGTGGAGGAGGTAAGATAGGTATTTTTTTCCAGAACCCTAGCTTTTCATACTCTGTAGACCAGCGCTTTGTTTATTGTCATAAGATCTGATTAGATCTGATTGCTTCAGAAATAATTGTGCCACTCAAGCCACTGTGAATAGGTTTCTTGTTTAAAACAAGGAACTTAAAAAACACCCTCTCACTTTTGTGTTCCATTTTGGTGAAGTTTTAGTTTGCTTAAGTAAGGATCATGTCTTCTACCCTTTATTTCTCCTAAAATAATTTCTAGTCAGAGCTACTCAGTATGATTAAACAAAAATAACCAGTATTTAGTGGAGCATTTTAAAGTAACTTTTTCCTTATACAGATGACACTTATTTCCATTAATTTTCTTAAAAGGAGATTAAGTAAAATTTGCTATCTATATTTTGGTAATTAGAATACCTTTCATTCCTTTTGGTTGTTATGGGATTAAAATTAAAATATGGTCTCATATTTTGATGGTTAGTGTTTAACTTGGAGAGTATTGTATCCCATCCTTAATTTATGCAGTCTAATAAAAATCAACACTGCTTATGCAAGTTACAGGCCAGCTTAAACTTTATTCTGTTTCCACCATGAATTGTTGCTGTTCCTACCCAACATTATTTCTTGATGGTTCCAGTAATACCCAGTTCACTTGGAATAACTTCAGTCAATGGTTAATTCATGGTCAGACTCAGTACTGGCTGGATCAGCAGCGTGCCTAGAACTGATGTCTGCATGATGACTAGTTTCATGATGTAGAAGGTAGGTCTTTATTCATAAACCCACGGAGACTCTGCTACAACTTTCCTTTCAGAGCTTTCTTTACAAGGTATCTGTACCTACCACAAATTCTAGAACTGTAGAATATGAAGGGTTCTAGTATTCATTATCTATTGCTTGTAGTACAGTGCCCCAAATTTTATCAGCTTAAAGTGTCAATAAGATTATCTTCTATATTCTGTAGGCCAGAAATCCAGTATTGTCTTAACGGGGTGGTTCTGGTGTTGGGTTTCTGACAAGAGTGTGGAATGTTTTGAGCAGGGCTGTAATCATTTGAAGGTTTAAGTAGGTCTGGAGACTCTGCTTGCAACATGACTCCTCACATGATTGTTGGCAGAAGGCTTTGTTCCTCCCTAACGTTTGAGTCATCACAGGGACCTTTCTACAGGACTGCTTAAGTGACAACATGGCAAGGCAATGGATTCCTGCAGAATACATAATTGAGGAGACAGTTTTCCAGTGATCTAATCATGGAAGCAGCAAACACACCATCACCTTTGCCTTGATAACTACTTACCCACATCGATGCGAAACTCTGCTTTTTATATGTCCCAGCCACAACCTGTACCCAAGGGCTACATGTGAATTTTGAAACTCAAGACTGCACAGAATCATAAGTTCCCACAGGTGAACGGAGGTTATATATATTCTCAGTGACTGTTCCCTCCTCCCTGGGCTTTCATATCTTGCTTGTTTTTAGTTCTACTTGTACAGCATGTCAAGGTCATGTGTCTGTGTTACAGTGTGATCATGTCTAAAATATTATCAGATAATAGGGAAATGTCACTCTCCTTTTGGATCTCTTTAGCTTACCTGGGGAAACTGGCAATGTATTTGAGTGACCTTAAATATCTAGTTTTGTCTCATCAATTACAGAAAACTTTTCTGGTTTCTTACTCCCTAGCAACAAGATTCTGGTTAAATCAAGTTTAGGCCATTGGCCCACACAATTGCCCCCAAAGGCAAGAATAAAAAACAGTGGACTGGTTAATCTGTGAAAGAGTCACACATCATTTTTAATCACACTTACCCGAATCTAGGAAGTATAGCCTACTACGCACCAAAGGACCATATAGGGACCACTCATTGACCAAAATAATTTTTAAGAGGTTCATGAGTATATACTCACACTGTATAGTAGAATACTACATGCAGTGAGAATAAATATTTTGCTACTAGCTACAGCATGAGTAAGTTTTACAATGTTGAGAAAAAGAAAAAGGACAAAATCCATTTCTAGGATTTCATTTATATGCCAACCAAAACCAGACACAATTAATTTATGGTTTTCAGAACAGTGATTACTTTTGAAGGGTAAGTAGTTACTGGTAATAGAACTGGTAACAGGAATGAGGAGGCTGTTAGAGTCTGGAAATGTTCTGTTGCTAAATCTAGGATGTAAGTTACATGAACATCTTAATTTTTAAAAAATGTGTTAAGCTGAACAATTGTGTGTACATTTCTATATGTTTTATTTAAACAAACTTCACATAAAACATAGGGATTATTTTTCATTAATGGTGTTTGTTTCCATTTCAGTGCTTCGGTGATATAATAAATATATAACATGCTAAATCACAAGGATTTTTAATTTACTACTGATACCCACTAGGATTTCTAAAAATACCAGAGGTTATCTCAGTGTAATTGTGAGCATTTGAGCAGGTTCTGTTTCTTTTTCTTCAAGGTATTTTTCCTCTCTTGTTGGAACTGTGTCCCAATTCAGAGAGGTAATTGCCATCAGTGATCTCTTCATAGACCTTACAAAAACAGCATCTTCTGGGTCATCAAACAAAGTTCTGCAAAAAAGTGGAAATAAAGTCAGAAATAAACCTATTAGACCAAAATGGATTTTTAATTTAAATGAATCATTGCCAAACATTTCTAGTCTACCAGTAGTATAAAACCACTAACTGAAAAGTTTTGGGCTCTAATGACAAATGACTTCTAAGGTTAAGTAACTCAGTTTTTATTGTATGTATTGTTTATTTGAAAAATAAAGTACTTGAGATTTGAATATTTGAGATTGAATATTAAACTTTAAGTCTCACACATTCATGTTTTGAAAGCATTGTTAAATGAGATGTTTAAAATATTTATTATGTTAAAATATTTATAGGTATTATGCATATTAATAACTTAGCTACATTGTATTGCAAAGTTATTATTTGTGTACATTGTGTTATATTTTATAAATATGCTTGGGAAAGATATTTGTCAACATTGAAGTCAAAGAAAAATTTACAACTGCAAAATTAAAAAAGAATGATGATTTTCAAATTCATCAATATTCATGATTGAAATGTTTTTCATTAACTTAATGAAGTATTTGCTTCTGAAAATGTAAATTCCAGTGAGCATAAAATGTTAATTTACATAGTAATTACCCTCACTGAACATATTTAAAGGAACAAAACAAGGACCCTCATTTATAATGACTAATGACTCATAAATTTTATTGTTTTAATGCATTGAATCACCCTTTCATTTATTTTAGGTGATAGCATAATTTTAAGTACCTAAAAACATAAAATTTGAATTCATAGCTTCTATTCACTTATTACAAAAAGAGTAATTTTACCATCTATTGAAAAGCTAGTCACTTTAAACTCAAAACCTATTTTGGAAAATGTGGAAAACTTAGGGTCAACACAATTATAAAGTAATTTGATTTTTAAAGGTTTAAAAAATAACTTACTTATCTACGTTATTCGCAAATGTAAAATCTGAAAGAAAAATTCTAAGTTAGTATGTTCAACGTTCAGTATTTAAAACAAGGAAACAGTGCTATAGAAGAAAAACTTAGAGCCTAAACTGTTTTATAGATATTCAATACATCAAAAATATCTTGATAAATAATCCCAAACTGTAATGTTCTTTAAAACACAGTGTTTTCGATTTTGAGTCATATTCTCAAATACAATACATATCTTAAAACTGAGGACAGTGGAATACTAGTGGGAACTTTTATAATTAAGATACTGAGTTTCAAATGTAAAAAAAGGGTCCTTTTTTTTCCTTCCAGATAGTCACTTGAATCTATAAATGGACTAATAGAAGAAATATTCAGCCCTGTTTAGACCTTTTGGATTCTTGGCATTAACTTCAAAGAAATAGAATAAACAAGTCCTAGATCATAAGAATCTACATCTTCCTTAGTTTTGGAGCTCAAAGGCTAGACCTCAAAGCCTGGATTTCTTATGGTATCTTTCAGAGACTGTCACTGCTTTGTTTATTCCTCTCCAGAAGGCCTAAAGCCAGACGAGATGAAAAGTACCCGCACCTGTTGGGCCACCAAAGCCCACAATATAAACTCTTGCCGATCCATGAGCAGCAGGGAGCACACAGCCTCTGACTCTGCCTCAGAGGAGGAGTTCATGGACTCTTTCCCTTTCCAGAAAGCTGGCCGAAGTCTCCCAGGCCCCTACTGATTTCCCCAGACTCCTTTTTCTACACTTCTAACTAAAATGACATTCATACTGCTTATAATGACTATAAACAAGTAAATTGTAAAATATGAAATCTCCCTTTTACCTTTCCAGTTCCTTTTATCAGAGGTATCACTATTAACGAGTTTCATGTTTGCTTCTGTCTCCTATGCGCATTCAACTATGTACTCACATATACACAGATATTCTGACAAAGTTCTAATATTGTCTTTGGCATTATACTGATTTTTTGATATTTAAAATTATGGAATAATTCTACATGCAATTGTTCATACTGTATGAATGGGCCATAACAATACTTTCCTAAGGATTACTTTAGATTATATCCCAGTTTTTTATTCAGTATTTCAATGAGCAATTTTATGCATATATCTTTGTTAATGTGTACAAATGCTTCTGAAGATAAGAAACTTCAAATTCAATTGTTACATTGAATGGTATACACATTTTCTAGGATAATGGATATTCCCATATGGTTTTCCAAGAAAGTTTGAGCCTGTTAAAGCTGAGGAATAATACATGAATTGTGTTCTCCCCCCACTGCACCAACTTTGTTTTTTATTTTTGCTTTTCTACTGAATGAAAATTGGTATCCCATTTAGATTTGCATTTATTTGCTCACTTGTGAGGCTGATCATCAGGCATTACATTTAATTCCTTCTATAAAGGTTTTGTACATAGTCTTTGTCAGATTTTCTATTTGGAGATTTTCTATTTGGATTTGTAGGAATACTTTTAAATAACGACATTAACTTTCCTTTCTCTCGTTTTATTTTTCTTTACTTTTTTTAATTGAGGTAATACTACAATATTTTTCTATAGGATCTCTCCAGGTGTTACTGTTGTACAACCACCACCATAGTCATCCACCACAGTGACAACGTCCAGTGTTTGCCTTTCTCCTGGTTTGTTTCACCTAGTACAATCCCTCCCACCTCCCATACATGCTGTCACAAATGACATAAGTTTATCTTTTTGATCACTGAGTAGTATTCCATTATGTAGATACACATCATATCTTCTTGATCCACTCATCTATTTTTGGGCACTAGGTTATTTCCTTAATTATCATACATTGTACTACAATGAACATAGTCTAAGTTTTCTTTCAAGTGACATTTTTATATTCTTTGGATAGATACCTAGGAGTGGTAGTGCTTTTGTTTCTATATCATATAGTATTTTTCATTTTTATGTAGATAAATCTGTCAACATTTTATCTGACCAAGGAGAAATCCTTCTTCAAGATTAAAGTCTCCCCCACCCCAGTACTTTTAAATTTACATATATTTAAATAGTCTCTTTGGATAGTCTCTTTGCTGTCTCCTTGACAAAGCATGTATTGAAAAAATAATTAGATTATCTCTTTGGCCGAACTCCAGGGGCACCTAGTCATTGTTTTCTGTGTAAATGGTATCTACTGGAGCCATAAAACATGGTAGTTCTGCCGACTGCTGACTTTTGCCTTTATAGATCCTTCTGACTGCACAGCTTTCTCAAAATCGAACCTTTCTCCAGATCTCACATTGAGTTCTGGGTCCTATCTGAGTCTTCACATACAAGTACACTTGACATTTGTTTTTCTGAGTATGCCTGGTGCTATTGCTTCCCGCAGAGATGTCTTCAAGGTCCAGCTTCCAGAGTCTTAGATTCCCTAGATCAAAATTTTGTTCGAGTTTTCTCTGGGTTATGTCCTTTAGCCTTGGACCTGGGTTAGCTTTGGGGAACTGCCATTTTTACCTTGTCTACCTGCTTTTCCTTTTTAGTTTTTCTCTTCTCTTCTTCAGTAGCATGTGTTATCTCAGTTACCAGGCCGAAGTTCTGGACACTAAGCCCTATCAGGGTCTTAATACCTGGGTCTGTTTGGGGGGTAAGAGCAAACAGGATGGAAATCCAACAGTTTCACTTAACCATTAGTAGACAATTCTGAAGTTTATTGATGTTTTCATTTAATGTAAATAGTCCTTTAATATCTTCCCATATCTAGATAGTAGGAAATCTTCAAATGTCTTTTTCCTTAAAATCATGGAAGATCAAAGAGTTTTGGTTCTGAGAATGTTGTTTCTTATGCAATAGGAACCGAAGACACAAGTATAAACCTTTTAGCCACACCTATTGGATAAGGTTGAATAGCTTGAGATTTGAGGACATGTCAAATTGACATTGCTATTCATGTTATTTGATTATAATTGGCTTCTTTCTCAATTTTAAGAAGATAGAATTGCACCATGTTTGTTGTGTGGGAACAGTAAAGGATTACAAAAGCAAAATGTGATATTACAATATTACAGTAGTCATAAGCATTTTCAAGTATGGTTTCTTTTCAATAAAATAATTGAGAGTCTAAGTGGGCATGTCACAAAGAGATTTATATCAAAACAAATATAGAAACTAATAAAGGACAAGGTTTAAAATCTTTTAAATGGTGGGTTTTATTGCTTTCATTATAACTAATTAGCTAGGTAAGATAACCTAAAGTAAGTAAAACAATAGGCTAAAAATACTTTTCAGTTGCTATGATCTAGTGGCATTTTATGAAAAATGAGTACATTGATATGTCATGCTGTCAATTTTAAGGAGAGATTTAGTGAATTTATCTAAGAATTAAGAAGAACTTTGAAATGCAATAAAATGTTGTCTCTCCTTCCTGCCTCTGATTTTATTTTTGGAGGTTTGATAAGGAAAGCATTAGAGAGAATTAAAAGGGTAGCATTTCTGTCAGTAAACTGATTACACAAAAGAAAGATAACACTATGTAACCCTGAAAAGCAGATTGAGAATGGGATTTATGTTGCTTGTGATTGTGTACATTAACTGCTTTTTTTTTTTAAGATTTATGTTGCTTGTGATTGTGTACATTAATTATTTTTTTAAGATTTATTTATTTATGCATACAGAACTGGGATAGAGGCCAGAGGTGCAGGGATGGTGAGAGGATTCATGTTGCTTGTGATTGTGTATATTAACCATTTTTTTTAAAGACATTTATTTATGCATACAGAACTGGGGTATAAGCCAGAGGTGCAGGGGTGGGGAGAGGATTCACCAGAGATAGAGTGGGGAGCAGAACAGGCTGACTTACGAAGTACACTGCTGAGGGGAGGAGGTGGCGGGTCAGAAGGGGTCTGCCGGGTCATGTGGGTCAGCTCTGGGGCGGGGATCGAACTCATGCTGAAGTGGCTTTAGCTTCTTATAGCTGTGCTTTAACCCACTGTGCCACCAGGGAGGGCCCCATTAACTATTTTTGAGAGTAGAGATTTTGCTAGCCAGTGATTCCTACCAGTGTGACTTATATCAGTAATTCTACAGCATTTAGTTTGGGCATCAACTCTTACATGAAGTAAAAGAAAAACTAAGAAAGTGGCTGACTAGTAGAATTGTTGGATGTATCATGCCTGTGTATGTTTCAGATCAAGTCTTTCAATGTTTTATATACTAAGTAAGCATTGTAATAGACAGTAGACAACATTGTCTCCATTTTGAAAATCAGAATGCTGATTTAAAATTTCTAATTCCTAGAACAGATGGTGATGTTCAAACCTGGGGAGATCTAGTCTCATTCTGTGCTCTTGCCTCTCCTCTGATTATTTTCATACTGGATGCTTGTCAAAATGATCTGAAAATTTTGTTAATTTTTTTAGATTCCTAGTTCCTACCCTTGAATCTCTAATTTCAAAGATCTCGCTGGGGCAGGAATTTGCATTTGTAGTGAGCTCCTCAGTGGTATTGTTGCTGCTGTTGGTTTGGGGACCACGGACCACACTGTGTAAACAGCTGCCTCAGACCATACTCTTTTACATCTAAAACTTGTCCTACAGACATTATTTCCATTGTATGGGACAAACAGGAGATGAAAGAAGTCAAATGACACTTGTGGAAACAATCATCCAGGCCCTCCCTGGTGGTACAGGGGGTTGAGGCACAACACTAAGGAAACAATCATTCAACTAGCGGAATTTAAAAACTCACAAAACAAATTCGGGCATCTATTCTAAATTAAAAGAAACTACAGAGCCAAAACAACCAAATATAAACTTGAACCTTGAGTAGATTCTGATTTGAAGAAGCAGCAATAGAAGTCATCTTGAAACAACGGGGAATTTGAATAACAAATTGTTTTTATTAGACATGATGGCACTGTGGTTATATAGGGAAATGTCCTTATTTTTAGTAATGTAGAAGTGACATGATGGCTCTGTGGTTATATAGGGAAATGTCCTTATTTTTAGTAATGTAGAAGTGAAGTGTTACATGTTTCCTACTGAAACATTTAAGTGGTTCAGGAATATTTTGATATTTTTGAGTTTACGCTGTGGTTGGAGATGACCAATGAGAGGAACCTAGAAGTATATTTTTAAATAAACAAAGGTACATGTTAAATATTTTTTTATAGTATTTTCAGCTTTCTATGTAAGAAACATTTTCATTCTGGGGAATTTCTCCAAAACTGTTTTTTCAGTGCAACATTTCCCCCTTCGCTTCCTGAAAATCAGTTTGGTTCATTTTCAAATGAATGTTGTTTCTTTGGCAAAATGTTAATAGAAGAAGATGTATTCTGTCTTTGCTTCTTTTCCATCCTCCCTTCTCCTTGTAATGCCTAGTGGCACAGCAGCTTTCATTGTAACCTTAAAGCATGCTAGGAATAGCAAAACAAAAGACAGATGTATGCAGCTGATGATGCCATTGAACTTTAGACCCTATCTTTGTGCTGTTTGTTGTGTGAGAACAATAAACCACTATTTACATATGTCACTGTGGCTGGATTTCTGTTTCAGACAAGGGATTAAATTCCAACTAGTAAAACATCACTGAAGGTGTTTAAGTTAAACTTCTATGTAACTACCATGTATGAGAGTACAACCAAAGTATTAGTAGTACTTTTTTCTGGGTGGAGAAATTGCAGATGATCCCTATTACTTCTTAATGTTTCTCTATACAGTAAAAAAACTTACAGCTTTATTTGATGAAATTGTCCTGTGATAGTTACAGAAATAAAACTACAGTTTATTTACTTAGCCTTTAATATTAGGTAAGAACTTTAATGATCTCATCGTTCTCACATTACCTCACTTTACACAGGTATGAGGATATCATATTCACTTTAATTAGAAAATATTAATCTCATGATAAGCTAAGTACTTAGCTTATTGTAAAGAGCAGTTACTATTATTGTAGCCCAATTGCTAAAGTCCTTAAGGAGTTTTAATTTAAATTTTTCTCTTTTCAAAATACCTGAAGGTAGTCTCTGGGCTGACTTTTTCTTAAATGGTGATTTAGGATTCCATGATGCATCTACTTTTCCTCTGAATGCTATTGATTGAATAACATGTGCCTTTTTATGGTTAAAAATGGTAATCATTGATCTTCTTTCTTTTTCTGTAACTTCTGATAAATATAAACAGTGACTTTATTGACTAGTATTCTAAAAAGATGTACAGAATTATTCAAAATAGGATTAAACACTTTCAAAAACATCTCTAATTATATTGTACATAAACATCTTGTCAAAACTAATTCGCAAAGATACTATCACAGTTATCTCCATAACCTTACAAGTGCTCAATATATGCTCCCCATGTCACAAGGCACAGATCAATCCTAATGCATCCCAGACACCTCCTAATATGAACATGGATGATTAAAATCATAACTCTGATACAGCTCTTCATTTCCTCAAAGTTATAAGAAGTGGTATGAGCATAAGGTTTTCATATACCCTCATAAGAAGTTACTCAGTAACACATTTTTAAGAATGTTCAAGCCTTTAGAGATAGAAACGTAAGATAGAGTGTATTAAAGCACTCAGGGATAAAATAGACCTTGAAAAAGACCATAATACATAAGGGTTTTTTTTTTTTTTGAGACTTATATGTCAGCATAGTAGGTAATCTTGAATGCCTAAAGATGCATTCATAATGATATTATCATTGATGGTGCCAGTCTTTATATATTTACAGAATTTCAAAGAATGTGACCTTTCAAAACTCAAATAGCATTAAAATGATTTAGTCCATTTTTTTTTTTCATTTTTGAATCAAGAAACAAAGGTGCCAAGGGGTAGGTGATTTGGCATCCAACACAGGCATGCTAAAGCCAGGATCAGAAGGAGACTTTCCTCATGGTCAGTGTGAACTCTTCCCAGTAAAGTGGCTGAGAGATTTGATTCCTAAACTAGGGCAGATTTCAAATAGCAAAAATTATAAGAATGAATAACTTAACTTCGCAAAGACAATTATTTTAAAAAATACCCAGCATTTTTAACCACAGAGTTAAAAGACTATCAAATACTTCTCTGCAAGAAAGAAAGATCCTTACGATTTCGATCCAGCAACTCTATTCCTGGGAGATGGTAGATTATATATAAACGGTACAGGTTGTATTGGCTCAAAGGGTTCTGATAGAGACCTGCAAAAGAAGAACCCCAATTAAATGTAAGATTTCAAAATTAGTTTCATTTGTCACTTAGTAAAACAAGGGAAACTGCAAGATTAATATAAAACAAGAAAATGCAAAGCTCTATCTCACGGACCAACTGTTATCCTCAGTAAAGACTTATTTTGGAGAAACGCTTAATTTTTCTGACTGGTTAAATTCATCCATTCAATAAATGTTTTCTGAGTGTTTACTATCTACCAGGAACTAAGTTAAGTGTTGGGGACATATCATTAATACAAATTTGCCACAACTAAGCACAATTTCCACATGTCTGTAAGTTAAATAGTAGAGGAAAAGCTGGCTATCGGCTCTATGGCGGTTCTCAGCTACTCTTTATTAAAGTATTTATTTGTTCACTTTTCTCACAAGTCCCCAGGGTGACTACGTGGACATGTTCAGAGATGCCACACACTTCTAATGCTGTCTCCTTACTCCACATCACTACGCATACCTGAGCAAAAAGTGGTGAGGGTTTTCTTTTCAAGGAAAAGCTATTTTCCTTATTCTAATTAGATAATATTTTTTTCTTTCTATAGTACTATTATTGTACATCTCTCTCTTTTTTTATATTTATTTTTACATATTTTTGTGCATTTTCCGTCTCAGTTGCAATCCCCTTGGGTTTCCCATCACCATAGTTAATTAGATAATATTAAACAAGATCTTTAACATATGATTGGAAATAAAAATTGTATGATCTTCAGTTGACTATCTTTAGCTATTGGATTCAGCCTACATGTCATTTCTAGAAAATACTTCTGGAAAATCAATTTAGAGAGGAGAACCACTAGATGGCAGTAGCAGAAAGAGCTCCAGCTATTTTGCAAAACCACCACTTCCAGCAAAATGAAGCTCGTTTAATGTACATGTTAAGTTTAGTACTGCTGTAGCATTCGGTTATTTGTAAAATGCAAAGAGCCTTCATAAAACCATGAACATACTAAGCTTCAGAAGCCCAGTAGAAATGAATATTTATAAAGAACAGTTGGCAGCATAAAGAAGGTAAGGCTGAGGGGGTACAGATAAAAATTGAAAAAGTTAATCATCTGGATGTTTTCTCTGTAGGTAATAAAACATTCTGATATTTGTCATATAAACACAAATTTTCCTGGCTAATAAATTTTATATATATAGCTATTCCCTTAGGAAAACTTAAGCTTTAGAGAGACTTAGAGCAGGCAATGGAAGACACCTGGTGCATAATAAACAAAAGTTATAAGAGTGAGGGAAAATATAAAGAAAATATAGAGCTGGAAGCAACAAAGAAACTTAAAGGGAAATCAGGGGAGAAATGAAATGGAAATTTTTCAAGATTCCTTAAGGGAGAAAAAACGGTTTGAATTTTAATCTTAAAAGAGAAGTTATTTAAAATGGTAACAAGTAATTATAACTACAGGACAGGGAATAGAACGGATGTATACTAAAGCAGTCATAAGGGCAGATTTAAAATGATCCACAGGGATCATGCGTTGTTGGAGCCAGAAAGAAGAGAAAAGGACACCCTTCAAGGATATAAAAGCAAAGCACAATTGTTTTTAATGAGAGTTTGGGAGGGAGAGAAGTCTCATATGCTTTAGTCAAGAAGTCTGCTCTGTGGTTACTGTCTTGGAGAATTACATCTGACACCTCATAAGGCTGTAACACATTATAGCAGCTGAGAGTAGACTCTGCCTGTGCACAATGATGTCAATGGAAAACCTACCAACATCTTCCAATGACCTTTACTCTTGTAGACTCTGTTCCCCTTTCCCTCTGGGAATAACACTATTTCTTTTCAGTCATTTTTTTCTAGTTCTGAAGTAGCTTCTTTATGCAAATTAAAAAGCCTCTAGCCTCAACTAAAGAAATACCAAATTTGGATTTACTATTATTACATTACTTGTTAAGGAGTCCCAATATTAGAAATTCCACGTGCTTATTGTGATTCCACTTTCATCTCATCATTTAGTAAAATCTAAGTGACAGCAAGTCAGAAAACAGGCCTTGCCTCTGTTTGAATTAGCTTTAAAAAAATTGAATTAAACAATTTTAGGCATATCTTTTTTATACTTCACTTTTCCCTACACTCTGAAATTTAGAAGAAAGCAAACTTACTTTCTTTATTTTCCTTCCATATTATTAAACACTTAACAGTTAGGATTTATGAGTTTTAGATTGATGCTACCAAAATTACCATAAATTAAGTTTCTAAGATATGAAATTGGTTTCCTGTGTGTCTGAAAGTTCTGAAAGCCTTCTATGATGTATGGGTACATTCCTTTAGAAACTATGAAGTAAAATTGCTTACACTTTCACTTTCAATAGGTTAATACTATTTAATCCACCTTCCCTCTAGGCTACTTATCGAGTACACCTCAGTGGCGCCAGCACTGTCTTGCTTATCTTAATTTGGGATTCTGAGTCTAAGCAATTTACATCTACCCAATAATATATCAAAATGTCTCTACTACCTTACTGCACAAGCTTGAATTACATGAGTCACATGTGTGAAGCTACTTATTATTGAAACAGAAGAAGAGAAAAAAATGCAGTCATTTAAATAATTGGCTCCAGTTATTTTTTTAAAAACTTTTAAAGCAACATTAGAAATCATCATTTAAGACCACCTTTGAAGAACGTTGATATAATTAATCATGTACCCAACATATCCATTTTATAAGGGAGGGATAATATAGAGAGGTTAAAGGCAGCTATTTTCTGTGCTATACAGTATAGCCTGTGGGAGGAAATTCATCTGGCAATGAATTTTGAGTTTCTGGTTCAAGATGACTTTAGTATGGTCAGCATCTCCATTGTCACCACCGTCTATTTGAACTAAAATGTGTGGGTGACTGCACAGCATATTATTGTATTGAGTGAGGAAATCAATTATTCCTGATTTTTAAAAAGGCAAATTGGACTAAGTAGAGGATGAAGACAGTAGAAGGATCAGAACATTCTCTTCTGGACAAGTAGCCAGTTGGTTCTTTTTATTGTTATGTTTTGTTCTTGGGAGAGTGATCCCATCTTGGCCATTTAAAGTAAAGAAGCTCAAAAAATGAACTGTAGAGATGACAGCCCCCACATTCAGATCTTTAGGCATCCTTCTTCACTCCCTGGCTGTCAGCAGAGCCTGGGCCAATGAGAAAGGACAGAAAACCTCAAGCACTTAATCTGTAGAAAAATAGAGCCCCTCTTTTGAAGGGGCACTCCTTTCCTTCAAGAACAAGTCATTAAAGGTCTACTAGGAAGCGAGTCTTAAAAATTATGAAATGTAGTAGTCAAAGTATACTTTCCAGGAGGGGAGTTAATGAAACTCAGAATATTTGAGAGAAATGAGACCAACAGACTGGAGAATGGGTTATATATTTTGTTGCTATTGGTTGTGGTAGAGGCAGGACCAGGGAAGCTTTGTGAGCCTATCACTTATGAAGTGGGTCTTTAACATACAAAGAACTGAATTTAGAAAGAGTTTGGAAGAGGAAAGGGAAGAGGAAAATGGAGCTGGAGAGGGAGGGTGTAGAAAGGTAGACTGCCTGAAGGGACAAGGTGGGGCCCTCCTGACTCAGCCTGGAAGTTAGGAATTCCAGTTTCCAGGACCTCACACTCAGTAGCTGGTTTTAGGCCTCCCTGAAGCTCCCAGCCATGTGTCTCCTGGGCAATCTCTTGGCATTTTTCCTCACAAATGCCAGTGGAGGGTGCAATGTTGAAGTGGATTAGAGGTTGATCCTCCAGGCAATTTTCTCACCCTCTGAAAAACTTGTAATTGAAGTCGAATAATGGCACGTTAGCATTTTATATAGTTTTACAACTCGAAAAGACAAAAATTTTTATACTTGAAATACATGGGCTTTTCATTTTTGTTAATGAGCTGAATCTATCTGTGATTGCAAATGAGACTCACAGAAACTTAATCTGAGGACATTACGCATGAGTAAAAAGTGTAGCTTAGTAAGTTCAAACATTTTTTCCGTATTATATCTTTAACTAGAAACAGGGCAAGTGATCAAAATGTGCATATTTGTCACCAAATTTCTGGAAAGGTTATTATTTTTTTTTTTTTAGTAATCAGATACAGCATTTTCTCCATTTCAAAAAAGCAATCCTACTACAAGATTTTCAGTTGGAAAAATTATAGTTATGTTACTTGAATTGTATCACTGTGATTTTAAGTAGAGGTCACTTAAACTGTGGAGACAGGTAATAACATGGACACTGTATTATCAGGCTGGCCTAAAAGATTTTCAAAGAATTAGAAAAGGTACTCCAGCACCTCAAAGGTGACACATTTCTGTGCTCACATACACATTTAAGTGCTAAATTTTGGGTTCTAAACATTTCCAGGACAAGAAACTTCCTTCTTGTTCTAGACTTCGATCAGCTTAACACTGTTTGCTAACCTCCAAATATTAAACGTGGAATAAGATTCCTTAAATTTAACTTTTTTCTTTAAGTGACTTACCATCTAATTTATCTTCAAGTCCCTTTAGCTATCTAATAAATACTTAGACTGAGTTGTAAAACTAACCCCAAAAAGGTGCAGGCAGGGTTTATCTTGTTCACTTTTATGTCTGCGTTATCTAGTAGAGTGTCACATTGTGAATATACTATAAGCATTTATTGCATGAATGAATAAAGTATGTTTTGAACAAATGGATGAATAAAAGATAAATAAAAATAAACAAGTCATTTGAACATGACTTAGTAGTTTGATTAAAGTTCTGAACCTTGCATTTCTACCATTACACAGGGAATAATTCTAATCATGCCATAGGGTTGCAGTGATAGTTGAATGAGAATACGATTTTTAAAGAAAGCATTTCTCAGTAGGAAAGACATTCAAAGATGTTATTATAATAATTATTCATTAAAAAGTCAGTTATAGGCCCTCCCTGGTGGCGCAGCGGGTTAAAGCACAACACTGAGAATCTAAAGCCGCTTCCGAATGAGTTCGATTCCCGCCTGCCCCGGAGGTGACCACATGGCGTGCAGACCTCTCCTGACCCGCCCACTGCTCCCCTCAGCAGTGTACTTCCTCGATCTGCCTGTTCTGCTCCCCACTCTGTCTCTGGTGAAGCCTCTCACTGCCCCTGAGCCTCTGGCCTGTACCCCAGTTCTGTATGCACAAATAAATAAATCTTTAAAAAAAAAAATTAAAAAAAAAAAGTCAGTTATATATTTTTTCAATCTATTTACTACTACGCAGAATGCAGAATTTCTAGGCTGTACATATTAATTCATTACTTAATTTAGATTATCTACAATAAAACAATTTTATTTTTATTACTGCTGCAAAAAAATAATACTGTTGAGAAATGACTTAAAAAATGCTTCAAAGGCAAAATGGTTTTAGAGGTAGCTACTTATCTATTTTATGGAAAAATGAAGATAACTGAGAGTTTCAGATCTAGCCTAACCAGTCTTTTATTTGTAGAAGCATTTTCTTATTTCTATAGGCAAATAACTTAAATATACAAGCCAAATCCTGACAGGGGAATTGGTAAGGTCCTCCTTACAGAAGCCAGAAAGTTGAAAATAAAACTAGCAATAAATTATCACATTTTGAAAGTTAAATATGAAATTAGTGTGAATTTGGTTTGGTTTTAATATTTGGACTTAAAAGAATTGACAAAGAAGCACATTAATCATTTCTCCTCAATACAGTAGATACAATTAACACTGAATATTTTAGCTTCTCTCTATGCATTGATCTGATCAGAACTTCCACTATTAACATCAGTTTAAAACATCATTTCAGGCAGTTCTGAAAATTATGAATGAAAACTGAATGGGAAAAGATACCTGTTAAAGAGGAACAAAATATCTATTTCTTGGCACAATATAAAGAAGTCTTAAAACTCTAAGCTATGAAAATCCACTCAATGATCAAAAAGTCTTTTCCCTTGGTACACCTAGAGCCATTGGTGTGGCTTTAAAGTTGCTCAGAGTGGAAAGTGTATTATTAGTTTTTCGAATCTATCTCACACTGAGGCCAATATATACAATGTTTATTTATTCATTTGAAAATTTAAATAAAACCTTATTTTTCGGTATCAGTTTCATTAATACAATTCATATGCCACACAATACACTCATTTTAAGTATATACAATTCATGCTTTTCCATATAGTCACAGAATTGCACAGCCATCACCACAACATCTTCAGCACCTCAAAAGAAATGCCATATCTCTTACTTTTTAGCTATCACTCCTCAACCACCTCACCACCCACCCTTCCCCTCAGACCTGTGCAAATACTAATCTATTTAAAAATAGTTACAACTCAGTGTTGCTGTCTTTGTGGATGTGCCTTTTCTGGACATTTCATGTAAGTGGAATTATACATGTTAAAACTTCCTTTTGAGTTAAAATCAAAGACAAATGTAAACATTAAAATCTCTTGTCACTTTTTTCATTTTTGTCTGGCATCACAAATCATTTCACACAAAAATTTTTTCTACCTTGTTCTTTCAATAGTATATCTTAAATAAGAGTAAGATCTTGTCTTGTCAGAAATATCTACATCTTTTAGTCATAAACACTGTTCTTCTAATTTTAAATCTGAAAAGTGGGGACAGTGGGAATCTGGCAAAATGGAAGCAGAGAGAAGATAATGGACACATTTCCTCACCCCCCACCATATACTCACAACTAGATTATATTGTATCAAAGTCAACTCTCCAAAGGAAAAACAGACAGTGAAAAGATCCTCTAGGAGAAACAATTTAGCCAGAGAAGGCAGGAGGGAGGGGACCAAATCTTAAGCCATGGGTGCTCCTAGTGATACCCACAGGAGGGAGTTCCTATGTAGGAACTCCTTCAGTTGCTGACTCACGGGCACACATCAAAACTGGGGACTCTTATGACGTGGCACTACATAGAAGGGGATGCACAGAGTTGGCATCCAACCCAGAGTGCAAACTGTTGGAGGGCTCCAGGCACAGGGATGCCGAGTGAGAATTACTGGTTTGTGCTGGAAGTTCTCAGGACAGAACAGCTAGAGCTTGAGCCAGAAGGGAGAACTACGCAGGACTACCTGTCTCTGCGTAGGAGAGAGGCTACTTCTTCAAGCTGAGATTGTGGTTCTGAAAACACCTTCTGCCCCACACCTCAGGGCTAAAATCAAAACAACAAATGAATGCTTGCAAAAGCCAGAATTTAAGTACCTGTTAATGACAGCGCATAACAGCTAGGATAAGGCTCTGTGCTGGAAAAGAGAAGAAAACTCTTGGCCTATGACCCCATATCAACTACTATCTATCACTGGTAATACATCTAGTACTTAGAAACAATCTAGAGGTGGAAGCTTATGTGACAATATACAGGACACCATTTAGACCAAGGCAGTGTAGAAGAGGAGATAACTGTGGATCCTCACCATGCAGCTCTCGCATTCATAGCACAGTAGGAACTGGAATCCCTGAGGCTCACTGGAGGTGATCCTTGATGTTCTGTTCTACTACTCCACTCCTTTTTCACCTACTACCCCTTGCCAGGAGCATGTAACTATGTGATCTATCAGAATGAGTCAGAGACCAGATCATCCAAAGGGTCACACAAATAACTCATTACATACTAACATCATCAGACCTTTCAAACAAAAGCTAATAGAAGTAACATATAAGACTAAAGAAATGGGACTTAAAACACAAAAAGGACACCTCAAAAAAAAATAAAAAGAGAAAGAAGAAAAGAAAAGAAATAAAGTAAATAAAAAAGAAAAAGAAAAAGAAATAAAGTAAATAGACAACAAAAACCACACATCACTCAGCACTTACGTCCCAAAAATAACAATCAAGAGGTGAATTTCAAAACAATGTCCAACCTTCTGCTAGTTACAAAAAACACATATTCCAACAAAGACAAGCACAGTCTTAGAGTTAAAATATGGAAGATAATCCTACAAGCAAATGACTATCAAAAAATAAGCAAATAGAACCCATGAAAAGGTAATTAAGTGATGAAAATTGATACTATATTATGATTAGGGGTCTAATACAATAATTAGAAATAACACTCATATTATGGCCAGAGTTTGATCCCAGCCAGGGAGCTGACCCACATGGCACAGCAGCCATCTCCTGTCTTGCTCGCTGCTCCCCTCAGCAGTGTATTTCAGTCAATCTGCCTGTTCTGCTCCCTACTCTGTCTCGGGTGAATCCTTTCAACAACCCCCCCAACCACCTCCATCCCTCTGGCCTACACCCCAGTTCTTCTATGCAAAAAACACACATAAATAAACAATAAAATATGTAGAAGAAAACAATGGGGATACATCCCAGGACATTAATGTAAAAGTCATTTTCAGGGACTCAACTCCAATGACAAGGGAAATAAAAACAAAAATAAACAGTTGGGATGACCTCAAGTTAAAAAGCTTTTGTACAGTTGAAGAAAAAATAACAATATTTTTAAAAGACACCCAACTAATGAAACTATTCACACAATATATAACTGATAGGTGGTTAATATCCAAAATATGCAAAAAATTCACACAATTCAACAATAATAAACCACTCAATTAGTGAATAGACAGCAGATATGAACAGACAATTCAACAAAGAAAATATCCAAAAAGTAAATAAACACATGAATAAAATGTTCCTCATTGCTTTACTGCAGAGATGCAGGTGAAAGCCACACTGAGCTACATGGAACACCTGTGAGCACGACACATATGAAGAAGACAGCCAACAAGTGCCGACAGTATGGGGAAGAAAAGGAAACTTACACTGAAGATGAAAATGTAAACTGGTGAAAACATTATGGATAGTAATTGGATTTATTGTCCTAAAAACTAATAAAATGGAAATATATGACCCAGCAATTTTACTCTTGGGTGTCTATGCAAAGAATATGCAACTATGTTTCACAAACTTCAGTACAGCACTGTTTACAGTACTAGGACAAGGAAGCAGTTTAAATGCATTGGCTCAAGAAAATGTCTACTATGCATATGATTCACCTCTAGGAAATATGAAATGTATACATTTTCAACAAAATGTGAGAGAACTATGTGAAGTAAAGCAAGTCAGAATGATAAATACTGGATATTTACATGAGAGATAATTCAATGAAGCAAAACTCTTACAAAAAATGAGTAATAAACATTAATAGACACTTTGAGAGCTAGATGGTAAGAGGATGAGGGAAGGAAAATGGTAGGGAATATAAGGAAAGTGGGGGGAAATAGTTTTAAAAATTTGAGAAAGTAAAGTTATTACTATTTTAACTTATGCCTATAGAAAAATGCAAATGGATACTTAGGGTCTTCAGATTTAGCATCCCCTTTAATTCCTTCACAGTTGCATCAATTCTTGTTAACTCATTGTGGTGTAGCAGGAGGATATGCAATGAACGCAAATAGTGGAGGCCTTTAAAAAATTTACAAGAGTTTAAACATTTTTGATTCCACTTGAACATGCAATTAAGCAAGAGCAGAGACAACCTTACAACCTCTTCAGAAAGGAGCATTTATTATTTAAAATATTGTGAATTATCATTATCATCAAGATTACAACAGAGCATCAGAATTTAAAGTTTATTGTGATGTGATGTGAGAATATAGTTAAAATTTTCCCACCGTAATGTTTCATGTTTTATTTTTTCCTGTAACAGTTTTTTTGTTTGTTTGATTTTGGAGTGATTGTTGTTCTTTTTGTTTTGTTTTCTTAATGTCACTTAGATTTGTAACACCAAAGAAATAATTAATTTCTTCACCAGGGGCCTCCCTGCTGGCTCAGGGGTCAAGTCTCAGCACTATTATCATGAAGCCTAAGTTGGATGTCCCCAGGGAGCTGGCCACATGGCACAGCAGACCCCTCCAAGACCCTCTGCTCCCCTCAGCAGCTCACCAACACTACTCCCCACTCTGCTCTGCTGAATCCTTTTACTCCCCATTCCCTGTACCTCTGGCCTATACCCCACTTCTTACATGCAAAAGTAAATTTAAAAACTAAAAAAAAAATAATTTTCATTCAATATTTCTTCCCAAATTTTTCAAGTAAATATTTTCTTTACATAACAGGTAATGTTGATTCGAAATAGCACATGTTCCTTTTTTTTTTTTTTTTTTAATTTATTTGTGCATACAGAACTGGGGTACAGGCCAGAGGCTCAGGAGCTGTGAGAGGCTTCACCAGAGATAGAGCGGGGAACAGAACAGGCAGATCGATGAAGTACACTGCTGAGGGGAGCAGCGGGCGGGTCAGGAGAGGTCTGCCTCGTCATGTGGATCTCCTCCTGGGCAGGCGGGAATCGAACTCATGCAGAAGTGGTTTAAGCTTCTTTGTGCAGTGCTTTTAACCCGCCGCGCCACCAGGGAGGGCCCATGTTCCTCTATTTTTAACTCAAATCAAAGTGTGCTATGTTTTTGTGATAATCACATAATAGCTATTTGGCAAGATTTTCTTTCTTCATGGTATGTGAAATCACAGTGGATCTAAAAATTTACAATACACTGATTCTGTGATATGTGATACATGATATTTAAAAAAGTGTTTTATACTGTATTTGTAATCCATACACCATTTACATCATGTAACTGACTTGAAATTTTCAGTTTAGAGATTTGTTGCTTATTTGAAAATTAGCTTATAGGGAAAATAGAAACTTGATTGGTAAATATATTAGCAGTAGAGATATTTACACTTAACATATAAAGTTGTAATTTTTAAAATTTTATTTATTTGTACATTTTAAAAAGATTTATTTATGCATACAAAACTGGGGTACAGGCCAGAGGTGTAGGGACGGTGAGAGGATTCACCAGAGACAGAGTGGGAAGCAGAACAGGCCGACTTCAAATGCATTGCTGAAGGGACCAGTGGGTGAGACAGGAGAGGTCTGCCACACCATGTGGGTCATCTCCAGGGAGTGCTTTAGCTTCTTAGTGCTGTGCTTTAACCTGCTGTGCCACCAGGGAGGGCCCTAAAGTTGTAATATTTATCAGTACTTCTAAGAATTGCTAACCTTTGTTTACACAATGACAGTTTGTGTACAACAAGTTGACAAAATTTCTATGTTTAAAAAAATACTGGTTTGGGGCACTCCTAGTGGTTCAGTGAATTAAAGCTCAGTACTGTGAAGCTATCTGCAGCCACTGTAACAGAGTTTGATCCCCAGCCAGGGAGCTGACCTATATCATGGCGCAGCAGATCTCTCCTGACCTGCCCAGAGCTCCCCACAGCAGTGCATTTTATTAGATCTGCCTGTCTGCTCCCCACTCTGTCTCTGGTGAATCCTCTCACTGCCGGCACCTCTGGCCTGTTCCCAGTTCTTGTATGCACAAATACATAAATCTTAAAAAAAAAACAACAACCTGTTTTACATTTTGAGTAAGATATATTGAATTAAAACCATTCTCAATTAGCACATTTTTAAGAAATGAAATATACATGAGAATATTAAAAAATAATAGATTCCATCACATATCTTTAAAAAATGTTAGAAGATTTTTAGTATGTCATATCAATACCATAGCTGAAAGTTATTATTTAATGGAAAATCAATTCAATCAACTGAGAACATTTAAATTATACCTTCTATCTCAAAGATCGCATTGTTGTTAAGATACAGTTCTGTCAGACAATAGTTTCTTGTTAGAAATGTTATTCCATGGAGCTGAAAATGAGAGAGAATATACATTTTACAATAATTATATTTATAAATACATTCACATATATTTTTTTGTGTGTAAGTCCATTGGAGTTTAACATTTGTTGTTATTATTTGTAATTTTTACATCAGAGCTATCAGTTTATAACTGTATTGTCTTTGAGAATTGTATGATAAAAGAAGTTACATTAAACTATCCTCGCAACACATCTCGACCAAACTCCCTGCAAGTTTTTAAAACTTCTGCAATTTTTCTAACAATATTTTTCACAATTCTGCTACAAATAGTCTCATCAGATATGACTTGGCATAGCTACTAATTTATCATCACATATTAGTAAGTGCCTATCATGTGCCAACGGCTCTCTTCTCAGATAATGTTGGGGCCACTTCTGCATCTGTGTATGAGTCATGATTTCTTTTGTCTGAATGACTCTTCTTCCTGGTACATTTCCGATTATTTTTAAGGATCAGCCCTAGGCCAGCAAGACATAGCAAACCATGCCTGAGCAAGCTGCCACAAGAGGTATCCACTGCTCCAGAGACTTGTTGAGACTATGTTTTGATCTCCTTACATTTCACTACAGTCTTCCTGCTGTTTTGACCCTCACTGGTTTCTCCAAATTTCCACCTGTTCCAGCATTTTGAGTCATATCTCCTCAATGGTGGTCTAATTCTGAACTTTTATTCTTTATGTCTCATCTATAAATGATATTCTCGTTTCAGACTCACTGTCCTGTTGAAGAGATCCGTTTAGCTGAGGATGCTGTAATCTGAATGGACACAGGTCAGCTCTGACAGGTCAAGTCTTTTGTTAAATCACTCACCGGTCTCCATCCACAGGGAGAAGGCAAGGCACAGTATTATCCTATTCCTTCACTCTTTTTAACCAGTCTTTCCAGAAAACCTCCATTTCTGGGTTACTCCAAAACTTCACTTGTTTTGTATAATTAATCAATTTACTCATTCATTAGTTTTGTGTCTTCTGTAAAGGAAGGAATGTTTTCAGGAATGTGTTTTGACCATTTCCCAAATCTCCTAACAGTATGGTGAAAGTTGCTTCTTACTTTTAACATTAGAAATCCAGTGCAAATGAACTAGTAATAGCCAGAAAAATTCTTGAAAATTCCTATAATCAACTATTTACACATGATATGGGTTATTCAACTCTAAATTCAAACTCATTCTAAACTGTTAGAAATGTTTCTGCTATTTTGCATAGAGAACCTCATTATTATTTTTAAAATATTGACTCTATAATATTGATATAACTGAATCATTTGCTTGATTTATGAGGATGACACATGGTAAAATCATAAAGATGAGGAAGGTATGTTCCAGAAGCAGGAACATACAAGCTAAATACAAGAATATTACCTTTAACACAAAATCTAAGAGGGAGAAGATTCTCATGAAGTAGGTAATGATCAAGTGCTTATTGTATATATCTTTATATATACAAAAATATATGGCCATGACAGTAAATTTGCTTTGTATATGTTTACGGAAGTTTATCAAAGAAATGATTGTCATCAGTTAAATAGAACTGTTTTTAACTTGAATGGATTCATTCAAACTGACAGAGCTAACTTATTTGATTTAGTAAGAATTTACTGGAAATTTCATTAAACTCTTATAATTTGAAAAGCTATTCTAGAATTGCATCCAACATTTGAAATTGATATTTTTAATGAATTAAGTACATGTCCTTCCTGACATCTGCAATATTCACAAATGAATAAATGAAACTACTAAAGTCATGTGTGCCACCCACTTCATCATTTCACCAATTCATCTACATCAAATTATGTCGTATCTCACTGAGGAGAATCAACAATAATTTCACCTCACGTTTTTTCGTTTTTGTTTTTGTTTTTTGTTTTTAAGATTTATTTACACATTCAGAACTGGGGCAAAAGCCAGAGGTGCAGGGGTGGTGAGAGGATTCACCAGAGACAAAGTGGGAACAGAACAGGCCGACTGACGAAGTACACTGCTAAGCGTGGGTCAGGAGAGGTCTGCTGTGCCATGTGGATCACTTCTGGGGTGAGGAGTGAACTCATGCTGAAGTGGCTTTAGCTTCTTAGTGCTGTGCTTTAATCCACCGCGCCACCAGGGAGGGCCCAACCTGTTTTTTTATAAGTCATGAGAAGAGTTACGTTTCGTATTTCAGAGAGATCATTTAAAGAAGTGAGAGCTGGGTCCCAGTGACATGCTATATCTTTCTGTTCTTCCTTTTTGGTTTCTGAGAATAACTTACTGTCATCTGTCCTCCTGACTATTCTCTAATCTAATCATAGCCACAACTAACTATTGCATAGGAAAAGAACACCAGTAGAAACCATGACTTTTTCTTCTCTTTTCCCAGTTACTTGCCTGATCACACATTAACAGCACATTACTAATTAGCTGAACCTTTAATTTTGTTGCATTACTCATTAACGAGGAGAAAAACAATTAAAATTCAACAGTTTTATCTTGATTAAATAATCTTAATTTCCCTGCCCAAGAACATTAACATCCTTGGGCTGTGATTATTGGATTTTCAGATTGTGCTATTTGTTGGAGTAAGAGGGGGAACAAAGTGGGGGCAGAGGAAGTAGAGTGAGAAAACAACAAGAACATGAGGACTTTGTGGGGTTACTAACATATTTTGTAGAAAAGATGTTATGAACAATTTTCACCGAGAAAATGGTAGGGGTAGTGAGTAGGATGACAGGAGATGCATAAGAAGGCTATTACACTAACTTGGAAAAATCTATGTTAGCCCAGAGTAGAGTAATGGCAGAAAAAAGAAGTAGAGGTAATTGAAAGCTTCAAGGCAGAATTCACAGGACTTCATAAACTTTGCAATGTGGCCAGTTGTTGAAGACAAGACCTAGGAACAGGAATTGGAAGATAGTGTCTGTCTTGGTAAACAAGTCATTATTAAATTAAAATGCTATGATAATTATTCATTTAGAAAAATCTACCCGATTGATTGTAAGGATTCCTATATATGCACTTAATGTGTCAAGTTATCTGCCTTAACCCAAGTCTTAACACATAGAAAATGCTCACTAAATGGTAGTTATAATTATTTGTTATTTAACCATTCTTATTTTTTATAGAAGGGGGGTTGTTACATTACATTTCATGTATGGCCCTTAAAAATAACCACTGAGATATTAGTGGGGGGGGGAAATGTATATCAGCATGAATCTAAAATCAAGAAGGCAATTTTTAGAGTAGCTTTTCTCAACCTCTAAAACTATTGACATTTTGGGCCAGCTGACTCTTTGTTGGGTTTGGATGGATGGTCCTGTGCAGGGTCATATGTTCAGTAGCATCTTAGTCTCTACCCATATGATGCCAATAGCCTATGCATTTGATTTTTGGCAATCAAAATCTCTCCAGATATTGCTAAATATCACCTCTGGGGAGTGTGTGGAGAGGGTACAAGTGTTCCCAGCTGAGAATTACTGATTAAGAGTCAAGGAAAGAGAGGGAGTCATGTATAATAGATACTTATTACAAAGTGGGCAGGAGGCTAGATGTTTTTATAGACATTATCTAATACCATCATTACAATAGTCCCATGTTATTTGTTTGGCTATATATTACATCATAAGTGGGTGCTTTAATTTGGAGGAGTTAATTTGAAGTAATGGAAAATATTATAAGCTTAAGTAATGGGAAATATTATTAGTTTAGGTAATGGAAAATTTTAGATTGAGTAGTGGAAAATAATCCATAAATTAATTTTATCTAGTATTCCAGCAGTAACCCCCAAAGTAGTCTAAAATGTACCAAACAAAATTTAGCAAAAAACAGAAATGAGACATGCAATAATCTCTCTCTCTCTCTCTCTCACACACACACACACGTAATGTGTGTGTTTATATATGTACTTAAATATAGACACACACCTTATACATATAACTTGTATGTGAGGCATGTAATATGGTTACATCCTGTCTATTAATATTTGATAGTGTTTAGACATGTTCCTGAGTTATTGCTGAAATACTAGAAAAAATAATTTATGGAATAGTTTCCATTGCTCAACTTAATATTTTCACTACTCTAATGACTATTTTCCATTATTTTGAAATATTCAAATGAGCAACTTCTGGATGGTTTAGATAATATATTTATCAACTTACTTACTCTTACGACAGACTCATGATGTAAGAGTATTAATGTTAACTGTATTTTAAGCAATGAAACAAAGTCACAGGGAGGTTGAATAACTTGCCCAAGATTATATAGCTAAGAGATGGTAAAATGAGGTTTGACCAAGGTTCCAGACTCTGTGCTGGAAAGCCACTACACTTCATTACCTCTCAGGGTAATGAGCAACAATCAGCTTGAGCATCTGACTTGCCTCAGCCTATACACCTGATCTAATTTAATCTCTCCAGAGATCTGGGTTTCTCTGCAAAATTACTCCAGCCTTGGCTGCCCTGCCTCAGGCTGGTTTAGGGTCCCAGGCACTGTCTTATCTTGTCCTTAGCCCTTAGGAAGTTTTTCTCATTACCCTCCAGTAGAGCCTAGGTAGGTGCCTATGACTGCCAGTCAACCCAAGCCTGAAGAACTACCCAAGCCTCACTCTACACATCATCATATACAAGCACATTTGTTCTCAGTTTCTGCAACCTTGGCTTTCAGCACTTTTCCCTTCTTCCTGCATTTTCTTAACCCTAAACATCCCATTATTCTTTTTTCCTTTTCACTTTATCTTCTTTCAACATGATCTAGACTCCCATTTCTACAGATCTGTAGAGGTAAATTAAATTGCTGACAAAGTATGATTTACCACCCTGAGTGTTTCTTTTAACTAGAAGCTTATGATCCATGATCTTTCTGACTTTTGGGTAAGCTTGAATAGACATTTTTATTTGAGAAAGCTTGCAATGGTCCCTTAAAATGTGCTCTGTAATAGCTCCCCAAGATAGCAGCTTATTAAACCAGCTCTAGGGACCATGTTCACTAAATCCAATATGTAGGATGACTTGTCAATATAA